TTAACCTCTAATATCTGAAATCTGTAAAATTATTAGAGAAATATTTGGTTACCAGAAAGGATAAAAAATCCATCATTGGAAATCCTCATTCCATGACATTGCCTAAAAGTAAATATCTTGCTCTAATGTTAGGAGGGAAAAAAATCCCAAATATAGAAAAGATCTGGTGTTCACAGGGTACAAAGTGGGTTTTAAAGCCTATAAACAAGACTCGTCAGTTTGCCAGACTATATAGATGCAGAAGAATCTCCCTCCACAATTCTGCCAAAAAGTAGAAGATAAAATTTCACCAAAAACAGTTTTACAAATTGCAGATGAGCTCGTGAAAGGGAAAACCCCCAGGTGTCAGAAACAGAGCGGAACCCAAGATAAGAAATGTGAGCATGGAGTATTGGCCAGATGGGGTCACGGAGGTCTGAGATTCAGGAGGGAGATGAATGTCTGGGGATAGCATCCGCAGGCCAGGGCATGTATCCACTCTGTGGGAGTGAGAGGGTGGGGCAGGTAGCTGAAGCCTAGATGAGCGGTGGTTCCATTCATGAAACAGCCTAGCAAACTCCACCAGCAGCCAGAGAAAGCCTCAAGGAAGCTTGTCTCCTGTCTGCTGCTGTGAGAGAAAGAAGAGACGCCTGTGAACCATAAGAGCACAAGCCTGTACCACACACTGGTATGGGGTTCAAAGTCACACCCCCAGGACAGTGCCAAGACAAACAGGAAGTCATTGTGCATTCACACTTCATGACTCAGGAAACGTGGGACTCCCATGCAAAACAGTCCCTGCTAAAGACGAACTTACAGGCAAAATTAAGTGTGTTCGAAGAGATGAAGGACATCGGGTACTAGTATTTATAGGAGAAGGAGGAGGGTACCTGGGTGGCTCTCAGTTGAGCCTCTAACTCTTGATGTTGCCTCAGGTTATGATCTCAGGGTGGTGAGACTGAGCCCTGCCTTAGTCTCTGGACTCAGCATGGAATCTGCTTAAGATTCTCTCTCTTCCTCTGCCCCTCACACCATCCCAAGTAGCTCAGTTGGTTAAGCATCTGCCTTCAGCTCAGGTCATGGTCCCAGTATCCTGGGATCGAGTCTTGCATTGGGCTCCCTGTTCCACAGGAAGTCTGCTTCTCCCTCTGCCCCCTCTCACTTGTTCTCTCAATCTCTCTCTGTCCCTCTCTGAAATAATAAATAAATAAAGTCTTTAAAAAAAAAATAAAAGAAAGAAAGAAGTCCCAGAATGGAAAATTGTTATTGAACTGTGTGAATACTGTTGGGTTCGTTGAACATTGTGAATAATGGCTGATATTTAGTATGGTTTTAAAGATGTTGTTCTTTTAACCAAAGAGAAAACTTTTCAGCCCATAGTTAGAAAAATGCCTACCATATAAATGGTCCTGAGTGCCAAACATGCAGATTGAAACCGAAGTTGAAATTGGCCTGCAAGTTCTAATTAAGGGAGAGCTGAAGGGATCATCCAAGTGTAACAAAGAAGCCTTGTTTGAAGTGCTCTTCTTAAATGGAGTAGCGGCAGACCCACTGGGAACAGGCCACGCTTTGGTTCTGCTCGATAACCCACCTCTAAAACATCTCCTCCCTTCTCCCAGCTCTCCCCCTCCCACCCTGGGGGTGGTGGGATCCACAGGTCACTGACTAGGTTGAGGGTATCTGTAGCCGCAGCCTTGGACCACGGTGTACTCTTGGGCCCGCACCAACTCTGCCCTCATTCTCAAGGGACTCTAGTGATCTAAACAGACCATCAGTACCACTTCTACTAGAACTGATTCCAGAAAATATGTAATACAGCTGATCTTCCTCTTTTCTTTTAAGACTTAGAAATTAACTGTCATCCCACTGTCAATTTATGGTGACATCATGATCGACTAAAATGCCAACATAGTTTGATTGGTGACCATTTAATAAACAGCTAGCTTTCTGTGTCTTTGTATTTTCGAACGAGCAGGAACTTTCTCTTTCCTTTCTTGTGTAGTACTTACCTCAAACAGCTCCAGGTACATAGAGCACATCAATACATACTTTTCTATACTGTATAATTATCTGAGAAGTTTTGTTTCACATTCTTTTTAACTGTTTGTATACTTATCTTCCTTAAAATGAAGATTTAAAACTTAAGTCTTCTTTTATAAAACCATCTATTAAAGACAAATAAAAACTCAAATGTTATCGTTTCTGAGAAGCTGCCTCTTTGACCATATTATATGACCTCTTCAGCCTCTTAGCAGTTTGTGGGCATCTGTACCATCAAACTGATCACCCCATGTGCTTTAAGTGTTTGTTTAGGTATTACCTGTTCTTTTTTTATTATTATTATGTTCAGTTAGCCACTGTATAGTACATAATTTGTCCTTAATACAGTGTTCAGTGATTCAATAGTTCAGTGTAACACTCAGTGCTCATCACAGCATGTGCCCTCTTCATACCGATCACCCTGTTACCCGCTCCCCCCCATCCTCCCCTCTGAAACCCCCAGATTGTTTTTTGGGATCCATAGTCTCTCATGGTTTATCTCCTGTCTGATTTCTCCCCCTTTGGATTTCCCTCCTTTCCCCTATGGTCCTCTATGCTATTGCTTATGTTCCACATGAGTGAAACCGTATGACTATTATCTTTCTCTGCTTGACTTACTTCCTTAACATAATCCCTTCCAGTTCAATCCACGTCAGTGCAAATGGTGAGTATTCATTGTTTCTGATGGCTAAATAATATTCCATTGTGTATATGTACCACATCTTCTTTATCCATGCATCTATTGAAGGGTATCTCAGCTCCTTCCACAGTTTGGCTCTTGTGGACATTGCTGCTATGAACATTGAGGTGCATGTGCCCCTTCTTTTCAGTACGTCCATACCTTTGGGGTAAATACCCAGTAGTACAATTGCTGGATAAAGATAAACTCAAAATGGATGAAAGACCTCAATATGAGACAGGAATCCATCAAAATCCTAGAGGAGAACACAGACAGTTACATCTTTGACATGAGCCATAGTAATTTCTTTCAAGACATGTCTCCAAAGACAACTGAAACAAAAGCAAAAATGAACTTTTGGAACTTCATCAAGATAAAAAAGCTTCTGCACAGCAAAGGAAACAGTCAGTAAAGCTAAGAGGCAGCCCACGGAATGGGAGAAGATATTTGCAAATGACACAGGCAAAGGGCTGATATCCAAAATCTATAAAAAAGTTCTCAAACTCAACACTCAAAAAACTAATAACCCAGTCAAAAAATGGGCAGAAGACATGAACAGACATTTCTCTAAAAAAGACATACAAATGACTAACAGACACATGAAAAATGTTCAATATCAGTAGCCATCAGGGAAATACAAATCAAAACCACAACGAGATACCACTTTACACCAGTTAGAATGGCAAAAATTAACAAAATAGAAAACAACGAATGTTGGCGAGGATGTGGAGACAGGGGAACCCTCTTACATTGTTGGTGGGAATGCAAGTTGGTACATACACTCTGGAAAATAGTATGGAGGTTCCTCAAGATGTTAAGAAGAGAGCTACCCTATGACACCAATTCTTGACTCTGATCTCCTTCAGAGTAGTCTTCCTCCCAGTTTTTATCATTCCTCCATACATAGTAGGCACGTCAATATTTGTTGGGTGAATGAATGAACACTTGAAATAACCAAATTACACTGGTACCACTGTATATCAGACCCCAGTGACCCTCAAGTGGCTCCTGTCACTTATACTCAAGTGACTATATCTGCAATCCAGGTGCTTTTTTACCTTAGACTGAAGTTTTTGTATGCATTTAGTCATTGAGATTGGAGCATCTGGAAATCTGTTAGCCATTTTCAAGAGCTAAAGAGAGTATAAAAATAAGGGAGAGCTGAACTAAGAACAATTAAAAAGGTGCAGGATAAATGGAGAATTCTGCCCTTTTTTTTTTTTTTAAACATCGCTTTATTCTGCATGGTGCATGGAGTTAAGGTGTTGAGATGACCAGGAAACTACATCAGGCAATCCATTTCCCCTTCCTTTTCTGCTTCTAACAGGGAATTTTATATCCTAGTCTTAGAGCCAAGGGACTTAGAAGGAGCTGAGGGAAAAAAAAGGAGGAGCAATATATATAAAAAACCAAGGACTTCATATTCCTAAAGTGTAATCCAGGGAGGGAATAATAGCTTATTCTACTGATGTTAAATCACAGAAGCAGGGAGAGAGTAGAATTTATAAGAAGAAAGAGGAAAAAAATAAGTTTTGAAGGCCTTTAAAACACTAAGGCAATAACCCAACTGAAGTTGGTACACAGGTAAGTAAAATACAGAAAGATGAGAAAATTCTTGCAGTGTTGCTAAACCTTTTGTGGAAACTTAAAACATATTCCCAGACAGAGTTTTAGTCCAGTCTCCTCAAGATATAGTTTATCTTTGATCCATTTGAAGTAAGACTCAGCCTGCTAATTCCTGTTTTGGTTTTTCAAGGAAACCACCTCTCCCAAAAACAAATCTATTGAAGGCAAAATAATTTTTAAGGTCAGAGGTTTCAAAAGACGTTGGACTACCCCCACTACATTAGGAATTCTTTTTTACCCTAATTGGCCACAGGGTCCTGTTTCATTTTTAGTAAAAGAACATTTTTAGCCCATTTGAAATAATAAATTTAAAGGCAATGTAAAGCGTTTATCTTATATTTAATTTGAGTGTGATAGAAATTGATGGTTTATTTTGTATCCAGAAATCTTGAAAAATATTCACTTAAAATGTGATTGCCAATAACTCTTCTCACAAAGCAGGGTGAAATTACAGAACCATAAATAGTGGGACCCAAGAAGTTGACAACATTCGAATTCTTAGGAGCAAAAAAGGATGTATGATAGATAACTAACTCAAATACTGAGGGGGTTTTTTTGGCTTCATAGCTTATTGTTATTTTAAAGCACACATAGAAATTCATTTATAAACACATTTTGGTGAATTTATACCAATAATTACAGCCAGTGAAACTACCACTTTTTTCTCCTATTCCAGGTTGTTGGTGTAGCCCAGGCCATCAACAAGAAATCAGGAAATGGTGGGACATTCACTGAAAAAGATGAAAAGGTACCAAAACTTGTGTCTGACATGACATCAGTTTAAGAAGATGTTTTTTCTTTATAGTGTATAGACCTCTAGAATTAGCTGTAGCTGAAATTGTTGATTACAAAAACCATTATGTTTTAAAATGATCTGAACCGTTCAAAAGTGTCTTTTTCCTGTGGCTAAATACGGTGCTAACTTTGGAGTACTCGTGGTATCAGTCCTTGGAAGCCCCCCAGCTCCCTCCTCACTGTGCCGCCAAGCCTCCTGGAGGCCTGTGTGCGTGTTGGGGCCATCTGGAGGGTGACACGGTATTTTAACTATCCCATTTAACTTTCATCGCTGCTATAAAGAAATTCAACCCGAGTAAAAAAACCCTTGAAGCACTGCTCCAAGTTCAGCACTCCAGGTTGGCTAAAAATTGGAGTTGCCTCCCGATGAAGCAAATTTCAGAATGTTTTATAAGCTTTGCACTCAGACGGTGGGGCGCCAAGGTGTGAATTCCGGCGGAGTGATGTGAATTTAGCTTCAGAAAGAGCAGCAGTCAGCATTATTTTATTATTCTTCACATCCAGTGCTGAAGAAATACATCCCATACACTACGTTGACATGCTTTCCGTTTAAGGACGGAAGCCCCTAAACCTGTTTCTAACTTCATTCTGTCAGTAGGTTTTATTATTTCTCTTCTTGAATACGTAATTATATGTATATCATGGGAGCCCAATGAATTCTTCTTATTCAAGCCTGTTGCTATTTAAGTCACTCCCCTGAAAATTAGTAGGAGCTTTTGGACGACATTCAAACAAGACAGAGTTATTTTTGTCTCCGTGGTGTAGGCTGTATATTGGCATTTGTCTGGGTCCCCATGTCCTAATTGATTCAGAACATAGCAAGTACCTTTTAAAATCAGTATTCTAGACATCTAGTCTCCTATTCTGTTAATGACACCTGAGAATATTTGGTGGGGGAAATGGTTCTAGATTGACTTTATATTTCATCAGTTGTTTATAGTCCATAAATGTAAAGCCCTCTTGAAGGATTTGTGTTCTTAGGCTGTATCATCTCTTGGCAAAATAAATCTATGATTGTGAATAACGTTTGCCATGGAGAGACTTCTTTTAATCAAAAATTAATATAATTGTGAGCATATCACCTTAGAATAGTATAATGAGGATGACAGATCCGTGTTAAAACATATTTAAGCTAATATTTTATACAACTTTATATGAGACTACTATTGCCAATATTCTCAGGTAGGTGTGTTAGCTTTTATTTGCCCCAGTAATGAGTTACAAGGTATTTATATGGTCTCAACACAGACCCAACTCTTAATATCATTCAGAGACTACACTAGATTTTGCATAGAGTGAATTTCAGTTTCAAATGATATAAAGAGATCTGTGTCCTACTCCCTTCCCTCTTCTTCTTAATTTGTAAGTAATGTAGGACTTGAGGAGACTGTGTTCATACTTATCATCTATTTGTTGTGCTAGTTAGCTAACTTGCACTCGCTTTTCTTTTAAAATTTTTTTTTAAAGATTTTTATTTATTTATTTGACAGAGAGAGATCACAAGTAGGCAGAGAGGCAGGCAGAGAGAGAGGAAGGGAAGCAGGCTCCCCGCTGAGCAGAGAGCCCGATGCGGGGCTTGATCCCAGGACCCCAGGATCATGACCTGAGCCGAAGGCAGAGGCTTAACCCACTGAGCCACCCAGGCGCCCCTTGCACTTGCTTTTCATTTGTTCTTAATTTTGTGCAGAATTAACATGTACCCTTTGAATTTCTAATATTTATTTCAACTGTAAACATTTTGGGGTGCTTTTTGTGTTTCAGGCGATATAACAAGGCCAGTTAGTAGACACTTTTATTTTTTTTTTAAAAGATTTTATGTATTTATTTGACGACAGAGATCACAAGTAGGCAGAGAGGCAGTCAGAAAGAGAGAGAGGAGGAAGCAGACTCCCTGCGCAGCAGAGAGCCTGATGCGGGACTTAATCCAAGGACCCTGAGATCATGACCTGAGCCAAAGGCAGAGGCTCAACCCACTGAGCCACTCAGGCGCCCTAGACACTTCTTAATTTAGCTGTTGTCTTACCTGTTTTCTAGGACTTTGCTGCTTATTTGGCATTTTGTGGTATTGTTCTTCATAATGCTCAACTCTATGAGACTTCACTGCTGGAGAACAAGAGAAATCAGGCAAGTCTGATGACTAAAGAGAGAATATAGAAATTGTTTCTTTAGTTGTTAAATTTTGTCTAAGTAATATATGTATATGATTTAAAAATCTAGTTAATATTTTAGCTGGATTAGAAATAATTATTAGATAATTATAAATTAGATAATTGTAAAATAATTAGAAATAATTATTTCCATTTTCTATTTTCCATGCTCAGTTGCCTTTTCACTGTTAGACAGTATTTCATTAACTTAACAGATGTGGATTTATTTGATTTATATCACTCTTTACTTGCCATTGTCCTTATCCTACCAATATCATTATTTCTGTTTTAAGTTACTGGATGGACTGCATTTGTCATGTTAAATAAGGCTTTTAGTTCTTGCTGTCTCAACTAGGGACATCATCTCATGATTCCATGCTTTGTAAAATGAGGATCTTAGCATGCCTCATCTCTCCTTCCCAACTGCTACTCCTTACCTCTGCTTTTCCCATCTGGACTTTTTCTGTTGCCCATGACAATAACATATATATTGTACTGCAATCATGGTTAGCTTTTAGTAAGTTTTGTCTAGTTTAATTCTAGAGTTGTGATTTAAAATAGAGTGTTTATAAGTACCATGACTATGTCAATGTTGTTCTTATTACATTTGTTATACGACTTTTAGTTTTTCCTGATGTTTCTGAATTGCATTCTTTTTTTTCCCCTTGATCTGTTTGCTCTAGTGTAGGTTGGTTTTTCCTCCAAAACTCCCCATTATTTAGGCATCCTGCTGAGTTCTTTTCTTGGAGATCTCCAAGTTGAGGTTCTCTGTTGTTTCTCTTCCAAGCTAAGCTGTTTCTCCCCATGCCTACTGCATAGGTGTCATCACAGAATTTTCCTTCACTGCTTTCTCAGAAGGATTCCATTGGTTATTCCCTGGATCCCATAACTCTTTCTTTCTCAGTTTGTACCCTTATTTTACTGCAGCACATTCTCAAATAATTACTTGAGAAAGAGTATTGATCAGGTAAGTTTTCTGAGTCCTTGCATAGTGTGAAAATACCTGTTGTACCATCCTACCACTTTGGCTGGGTAAAAAATTCCAAATTGAAAAATCATTTTCTCAGACTTTAGAGTGGTGCTTTGTCATCTAACTAACATCCATGTTGTTCTGATTCTTGGCTCTGTGTTGATGTTTTTTCTGTTTTGTTTTCTGTTTTTGTCTGTAAGCTTTTCAGATCATTTTTTCTCTTTGCTTTTATAATTTAATTTTATAGTCTGACTCTTTTTTTCATTCATCATGCTGGTACCTGGACATCCCTTTCCACCTGGAGACTCAAACTCTTCCATTTTATATAATTCTTTTTCATTATTTCTTTGATAATCCCTCTCTCCCACACCCCATTTTCTCTTTCTTGAACTTGTGTTAATAAGATACTGGATCTTCCATTGCCTTTAACTGTAGTTTCTTCCTAACTGTTGTCCCTGCTCCATTCTTGCCACTCATTAATCCAGTCCCCATGTTTACAAACATAGCTGCAAGGCTGTCATTTTCTTTCTGCAGTCCCATCACCATGCAAGCTGCCTCTAAAGACACGCAGGGCTTTTGAGGATCTTTCTCCATTTGATTCTGCCATTCCATCTCCCCAGCTCTCCTCTTTATAGTCTAGATTCTCTCTTAAGAATTGATTAAGATTTGCAGTATGCTACTTTCTCTCAATTCAGTTGTTTTTGACTGAAGTATTTCCCTTCCCCACTTCATCTAAACAATTCCTGCTTATCTCTCGGGCCTCAGCTAGGATAGTAACTCCTCCAGTCAATTTTCTGTGATACCCTTTCTTCCTCCTCATCACACAAATATTTTGTGAGATTAGAAGAAATTCTGTGGAATTCAAAGGAAAGTGAGATTACCAGGAAAAACTCAAAAGGAGCTCTTATAACTTTGTTTTGGACAATATTTACTGTGCTATGTGAAAATACTTATAAATGTTGATCTCAGAAGTTGGGAACAACAGCAATGTCAGTGTTATTTCATGTATGAGATGCTGTTCAGAATGCTTTATAAATGTTTGGATATTTAGTCCTCACAATAGTCCTGTGATTTGGTATTATTTTTTACTGTTATTCCCATTTTTAAGGAACTAGCCCTACATCACAAAGCTTGCAGGAAGGGAAGGCAGGATTAGAAACAGGTGACTCTGGTTTTCAAGTCTGTGATTGTAACCACTGTACTAACAGTCAATATGGAAGGAAGCTCTGTTAGTAAATAGAGACTTACTTATTTAATACTTGAATGCAAACTTGGCTATAACTTGTTAGTTTATAAATAAACAACTTATAAACCATATAAATCATTGTATTGCTTTAATAATTACAAATACTTACTAAGTAATAAGCTCTAAATTTTCCTGTTTAGGTGCTGCTTGACCTTGCTAGCTTAATTTTTGAAGAACAACAATCATTAGAAGTAATTCTAAAGAAAATAGCTGCCACTATTATCTCTTTCATGCAGGTGCAGAAATGCACCATTTTCATAGTGGATGAAGATTGCTCCGTGAGTACAGAGTATGACTTTTTTATTTTTAGAAAGACAGCAATTATATTCCTTAAAGTGTCACTTTTAAACCTCACGTTAGCCTCAGATGTCTCTGAACCCCAGGTATATACAGTTGTGTATGCAAAGCCAATCAGAGTATGAGCTGTTCTGGTTGAAAGGAGTAGACGGGAGGTTGGAGGGTGCCTTCAAAGCACCCTTTCACCTTTGTGTCCCTCCACTGAGTGGTTACCTTGGGATTGTCTGTGTGCTATTTTTGTCAATGGCCATACTTCCTTGATGGAGAAATACACTGTCCTTATAGTATGCAGACCCATCGTGATCAGGGATAGTGGTGCCCTGGTTGCTCTGAGCAAGTAGAGCCCCATTCTGAATGGCTTGGGAAAAAATTTTCTTTTTATCAGGAATTGTTTAGAAACCAAAAGGTATGACCCAAGAGAGGCAGTATTATTAAAGGTGCCTATCAGTCCTAAATCTTTTACCAGCAATGGAAAACCACTAACTGTTCTACTTGGTAGATTTTAATCCACTGATGTATAACAGAAAGAAACAGATGTGTGTGGAAAGATGGAGTGTTCTCATCAAGTGCTGGTTACTTCTAGACAGGCCAGTTGAGGTTGCGATTAGAATCAGAGCTCCTAGCCTACGGCAGTTTTCCTTTATGCAGTTTCTTTCCCTTTTTAACCTATGATCCACTGTTCCTGGGATATTTCTTTTTGAGGTCATTGTTTATTTTCTTTTTTCTTTATACCCTGAGAATAGGCTCTTCATTGGTGGGTTAGGAAAGAGAGTGGGGATCACCACCACTGTGTGGTCAGTTGTAATCCATATATGATACCTGAATTGATGGGGTTTTGGGAAGTAGAATAATAAAAAATATGTAATACTTAAATTAAAATTTTAAAAATTGTTTTAGATAGTAAGACTGTAGTATATGACTCAACATTATCTCAGTCATTTTGAGTGTGTGTGCGTGTCTAATTCTTATTCACTGGATATCAAATGAATATACCGTGCTATAAGGTAATCAATATTCTCGTAGTTATTATTTCATATTTTCAATCAGTTATAAAGTCCTTAATATGGAGATGATTACAAGTAGTCATCCTTTTAAAGTTCAGGTCAGAATTCATTAATGTAGCAAGTCAATTCACAATTTTTGCTCTGTGACCTGTTCGTTAGCATTTAATATTTGAAAGTTATATGTAAGACACTCCTTTTTTAGACAACGTAAATGCCACCTTCATTAACAGTCATCTCGTGCTTTTAACAGTTAACATCTTTTGTGGTAGCAACTGACTTGCATCATTGGTACTTTGAAGTATAGCTCACTTATATGCCAGTTAATATATTTTGCTCACTTTTTAACTTGATTTTAGGAATCAAGTGTCTTGATTATCATTTATAGTATAACTTTTTGATTAAAATTATTTCAACAACATGAGCAAAAATCCAAATGTAAACAAGAAAAATACAGTACTCAGTTCTTCCCTCCCCAAATTAAACTAATATCATTGTTTTATATCTTTATTCAGTTGTAAATACAGCATGGATATGAATATGTATTCTGTTTTTTTTAATGTACTTTCCAAAGTACCTCTCCATGTTGTTAAAACCTTCACAATTATTTTCATTAAATATTCATAAAATATTACTGAATTGCATGTCTTTTAAAAAGCTCTAACAACAGCAATCAATGTATGCATAAAAACTAAAACATGAGCATTTTGAATAAATGGAAAGAAAATTTGAAGCTAACATATTCATTAACACCTGCTAGAAGAACAAAAAAAAAATACGCAAATGAGCATTTTTGCAAGTGAGTCTCAGAAACAGTAAGAACATAGGCAGCCGACCTGAGGCTGTCAGGCAGTGAGTACTTGTGTCAGTTTAGTCTGAGAATAAGTTCAAAAAAGATCACAAGTATTGGTGTCTTTCATCAATTCCACTGACTTGCGTGTGTATATCTAGATAGATCTCGTTACATTGTCAAACTTACTTCTCAGTCTGTGTTGTCGCTTTGTTTTCAGGATTCTTTTTCTAGTGTGTTTCACATGGAGTGTGAGGAATTAGAAAAATCGTCAGATACCTTAACAAGGTAAAATAACTCATTCTCTGTCTTTATCACAAGCAAGCTGACCCTTGAACAGCATGACTGGACCTGTGAGGTCCACTGAGAGATAGATTTTTTTTTTTATATAAATATAGTACAGTACTAGAGATGTCTTTTCCTTAAGTGATTTACTGAGTAACATTTTCTTTTCTCTAGCCTACGTTATTGTAAGAATACAGTATATAATTCATATACCATACAAAATATATGCCAGTTGACGCTTTATGTTATCAGTAAGTCTTCTGTCAACAGCAGGCTATTGATAAAGTTATGAGGGAGACAGAAGTTATCTGCGGGGTTTTGACTATGTGGGATGTTGGCACTCCAAACCCCTACATTGTTTAAGCCAGTATATGTAATGCTGGCTACATGGTTATTTCATGACCTGTTTAATTTAAGACATAGAAGCTACATGCTGCTTCCTCCCGACCATCAATAATTTTATTTGTGAAAATACTTAACTATTTGATGACAGAGTTCTAGGATTTTTTTCTCCTACAGTTGACCTATAGGAAAATTGCTAAAACAGTGAATGGTGTTCAGATTAGTATAGACCTGGGTATGGTATTTTTGTGAACTGGCTCATTTAAGATCCATAAGTCTGTATTGCAGTTACATGTTTCATATTGGATAGTTGGATTCCAGTATGCAATTCATATTGCATATTGGACCCTCACTGGAAATTTGATAGGCTTCTGAACAAACTTCTCTTTGAGTCTGCTGTGATTTGGAATCAGCCATGGGGATTTAATTAATAAGAGAAGGAAGCCCATGAACCCCATCACACCAATAGCCATCTACCCAATGGCTAGAATGAAACCAGATCTCTATTGCAGGTCATTTCTTTCTCATTTTTTTTTTTTTTGTAACTTAAGAATTTTGTATTAATTTTTTGTTGTTGTTAATTATCACGTGGATAATAGAAAGTATTGATATGATTGAGGTTAGAGATCTTACTGCCCCAATTTTATTTGTGCTTTTCTAAGAATTTGGGAAAGGATTTAGAGTAAACTACCAAATGTTCTTTCACAGATTCCCTTTTCACCCTTAGCAAAAAACTGGTGGTGTTTGTTTAAGTGACAGAATATTCTAAGAAATACAAATCTGCCAGGATAAAGCGGCAGGAATTCTTGGGTATAGTGCTATTTATCATAATTTTCATTGTTCATTTGTTACCAATTATTTCACTTCCTAAAATCGTTTGTCTGAAATTACTTTATCCCTAATTATTGATGTTATATCTAAAAGCTTTTTATGACCATGGAAATAGAACATTGTCTTAAGTTTACTATCTGATATTAAAGTTTCACATTTTTTTCACTACAGTTGGCCTTTTAGAGCATTATTTCATTTAGTGTATGGTGTTGCAATTATCACAGTCCTCAGTAACCAAGCTCTTTGGTGGTAGTGCTTTAAAAATAACCTTTGACAGATCTAAACTACAGAACATTCTATGAGATAACTGGCCTGATCTTTTTTAAAAATTAGTATCATGGAACAAAATGGAGGGAAGGAATATCTTGGACATAATAGCCAAACACAATGCATAAATCTTAGTTGGATTCTCATTAAAACAGCTATCAATGAACAGTTTTTGAGAACGATCGGAAATCTGAATTTGGATAAGGTAGTAGATAGTTGATGGGGAATTGCTGTTACTTTTCTTTGGAAATAGGAAGATACTGTGGTTAGTAGGAAACTGTTTTTATTTTTAGGAGATACATCCTGGTGTACTTAAGGATGAAATATTAGGATATCTGCACCTTACTTTAAAATGGTTCAGGTGGGATGCCTGGGTGGCTCAGCTGGTTAAGCTGCTGTCCTCAGCTCAGGTGATGATCCCAGGGTTCTGGGATCGAGTCCCACATCAGGCTCCTTGTTCAGCGGGGAGCCTGCTTCTCTCTCTGGCTGTGCCTGCTTGTGCTCGCTCTCTCTTTCACTCTCACTGACAAATAAATAAATAAAATCTTTTAAAAAAATAAAAATGGTTCAGGCAAAGATAAATAAGTACATATATCTAAATTTCATATATTTAGACAAGTATATTCACACAAACATATAGATAAAATACATAGGTAAAACATTAAAAATTGTTGAATCTAGAGTAGGATATTCATTTGACTTTCAACCTTTTTGTATATTTCAAAATGTTCATTAAAAATTTGAAGAAAATATTTGTAATAAAAAATTGGAAACAAGGGGTGCCTGGGTGGCTCAGTGAGTTAAAGCTTCTGCCTTCGGCTCAGGTCGTGATCCCAGGGCCCTGGGATCAAGCCCCGCATTGGACTCTCTGCTCAGCAGGGAGTCCGTTTCCTCCTCTCTCTCTGCCTACTTCTCTGCCTACTTGTGATCTCTGTCTGTCAAATAAATAAATAAAATCTTTAAAAAAAATTGGAAATGAAAATCATTTCTGTAGATCATGTAAAGCAGAATTGCAAAACACAATTGTCTGAGTTTAGAACACAAGACTAAAGTGCACAACCTGGTTTTGTTCAAACCCTCTTAAGACTGACCCCTGGGATCAGTGTGAGGCCTGCATACCTGTCTTCCATCCCCTTCTTCTCCTCATCTCTTTCATGTGTCCTATCTTCTCATGTCTTCCCTCAGCAAGATGGAGACACTATTGACCACAGTGACTTCAAGTTTAGATGGCTAAGTGATTCTTTGTAAATAAAGAATCATTCCTTCTAAACTATTATTTTAACAGTCTGATACAATGAAATACGTTTTATCTGATTAAAAGAATTTGAGGAGTTAGCAAAGGGACAGATGTAACTTGGGGGCAGAAAGGAAATTCATTTAACTCATGGTACACCTGACTTAGGACTTTTTTGCTGACTGGGGCCTGTAGATAAACCATGTTCTCTCAAGAGATTTTTTTTTACTACCTGGAGTTTTTCATTCATAAAGTTGGAATTACATAGCCAACGTCTGCTTCCCTCTTGACATTGCTGGTTATGACAAGTATCCCATTTCCATGTGTATTCTTTCCTAAACCCCTCTGTGTGCCATTGTATTTTCTGGCATATTGGACATTTAGTTCTTTAGCTAGTATTGAGTCCTTTCTGAATATGTGATAGTAAGTCCTTGTCTTCATGATTATGTTTGTATCCCTTTTAAAGTCTGGTATCTCCTGCCTAAATCAGTGATGAAGTTTCTTATTCCTAAGAAGAACATTAATATAATTTTGATTTATGATGCTATAAAATTTTTGTTGCTTTTTATAAGGAATGTTTTATAAAAAGCAACAAAAATTTTATAGCATCATAAATCAAAATTATATTAATATAATCTCACATATAAATATTTGATTCTTTCAAATATATATCACATATAAATATTTGATTCTTTCACTTTTCAGATTGCATAATGAATTGCTACATATAAACATGTATATTTAATGTGTTTACATATATCCATAGGTATGACAAAATTCTGGAATGCTATAGCCTATAAATAATATGAAAATAACACATGACATAAATGATATAAAATGACCATATATGGAATTTAAGAAACAAATGAACAAACAAACAGACAAACCAGAAAACAGATCCTTAAATATGGAGAATAAATTGGTGGTTGCCAGAGGGGAGGTTGTTAGGGGATGGGTGACATAGATAAAGGGGATTAGGAATGCACTTATCTTGATGAGCACTGAGAAGCATATGGAATTGTTCTAAGACACCTGAAACTAAGACAACACCGTATGTTATAGTTGAATTTAAAAAGTAAGATCAAGAAAAAGTATAAAATGATGAGTTATCTACATTTACCTTTGAATATTTGTACAGCAGCATAAGTCTACATAATTACATTTTATGTACTGGCATTTTGATTTTATTACCAATTCAGCCTGGTCCTCTAATTTCTAATGGTACCTGAACAAGCCCATTTGGTGTGATAGTGACCTCTACTGGTAAATATGCATTTTTAAAAAGTGTAGTCTTCCTCGATTTATTTCTGACGAATACTGTGTTCCCTCTCTGCAGACAAAACAAAAGGTATTTTTCCATTTTTTAAAATCATTCCAAGACAGTCTTAGTATAAAGATTTTTATAAAGGATACATAAGTCAGTGTGATTACCTTAAAAGAGAGTAATTTAATGGATCATTTTAACTGATCCATTAACTAATTTTACAGTATTGAAAAGTATTCACTAATGCCTTATATCACCTAAACATTTTATTTCTTTTAAAAAAATTTTTTTAAAGATTTTATTATTTATTTATTTGAGGGGGAAAGAGAGCACAAGCAGGGAGAGCAGCAGAGAGGGAAAGGGAGAGAGGCTCTCCTGAGTAAGGAGCCTGATGCAGGGCTGGATCCCAAGACCCTGGGGTCATGACCTGAGCTGAAGGCAGACCCTTACCAACAGAGCAACCCAGGCGCCCTTTAAAGTTAGCCTGTATACTAATAATACAATAAAAAGTCTTTAAATGATATAAATATATTTTATTATTTTAATAAAAATGAGACATTAGGCCTAATGTTGCCAGACCTCTGAATTAAAAATGATGTGTGGTGCCTTCAGCATTTAGACAAAGGACTGAACTGATAGTGACACTTCACCAGCAGACTCTTTATCACCTTGCTGAAATTATTGCTAGAATTCAGGACTCTTCGATGCTTATTCTTAAACACTTTGCCAATCCAAACACTCTCCCATGAGATGAAATGCTAGGCAATTCTATGATGTCAGCAGTAAGCAAATCATTCTTTTAGACCAGCCATTTCAGTTGAAAAGCATTGCTCATTTGGTATTTGTCCAACCAACCCACTAATTATCCTTTATAAATTAAAATAATACGTTGAGGACGGACTTGCAATGTTAAGCATAAAACTAAAAAATAAATATTCAGGGTGAAAATTATACATAATTATCAGAACCATATCGTCAGTGAGATAAAGTACAGGAAGGTTTTGGGACTTGGGTTGCCTACAAATTTCAGAAGAGCAACTAGCTCATTTCCAGATGGCGGGACGT